TCATCTGTTGATATAGAGTTAGGTAAAAGTCAGATTTTATTTATTTAGCCCTGTATCACACATTTGCCTCTTGGGGCTGAGCAAATTGTACAGAACACCTTTAACCAGGGAGGGGCTACCATGAAACCTTGATGGATTTTTTGACCAGTGTGGTGGGATTTCTACTTGTCCTCCTGCTGGCCAGTCCGACTATGACGGATTGGTCTTTGGGTTTTTGAGAGAGTGAGTGAGAGAGGGGCTTAGTGAATCAAGCAAAACAGAGATTTTTTATAACATGAGAACATTTTCAGTTCATAATGAATCTGGTGGGAAAAATTAGTCCGACTCGTCTAGTCTGACTAAAGTTACACTGAATACATAGCAGGAAAAACAAACTTACAATACTTACACATCTATCCTGTGTTCATCTTTGAAGAAAATCAGAAACCAAGAGAGATTTATCTTCATGATGGCACCTCCCATCTTTTTATTTATTCATCACTATACTGTAAGTTCTCCCCCTGCATAGAAGAACTTGTTTCCATGTTGCCTTACACATAAGCTTTCCTGTTAAAGTCTTCAACTTATTTAACTCACAAACATGGACACATATCATGTCCTGCACCTTTGCTACCACCACACATTCACCTTGGAAAATGGTGAATTATTCCAGTGAATTTGATACCAATATTATATGTATTTTACAGGTGTCAAAATTGAAGGAGCAGTTGGAGATGACGGTACAGAAGCTAAATGAAAGCAGAGAAGTGTTGAAAACTAATGAGAATGGTAAGGATGCTTGTGTCCCTCATTTTAACCGACCAATTGTCTTGCACTCACAACAATCTCTCTATTTAAACTTCTTTTTTTACAACACAAATCAAACTTCTGCTTTGAATAACAATTGTCTGACAATAACAAGTTTCCCACAATCATCCACACGTGCCACTGATGTGTCCATTAGTCTAAAACATTGTGGCTGATCTCAGAGGATGAACAGAAAATTAAATTCCTCCAGGATTCTGAATAATATATAAGCTACCTTCAGCAGTTTATAGGGACATCTCCCAGATGAAGTAGTTTCCATGACCTGCTCATCACATTGCGATTTATAGCGTCATGGACATAGTTATAATACTTAAATAAACAGATCTATTTACATAATAAAAACTGATCCTAATAAATGCATTTTCCATTTTCCAAATGAATCTATGTATGGACTATAACACTATTTCATTAGATCATATTTTAATGGTCAGTAAAAAGAGGAATTATATAAAGAATGTACAAATATAATAAAACATTATTACGAGTTCAAATTAAAGAGAGATTTAAAAACAACTATCAAAAAGTACATCATTAAAAATGACTGAATGGGATTTCGAAATTAAAGTGAAATCAGAAGGAGAAAACATTTTTTTTTTTTTAACTTTTTTTGTTTAGTTATCATTGAAGTGAAACACTGTAGGTGTTGTTTTAGGTAGTAAATAGGATTTAAGATAAACTTTTGTAAAGATATCTGACATTTGGGGATGAATATAAATAAAATGAGCAGGAAAAAACAAGGCTGTCATTGTTTCATTTTATATTAAATAAGCTGCAGAGCCAAAACAGCTTAAATGTGTTGTTGCCTAAATTATAATTGAAATTGTTAAAGTAATAGCAATGTTCACGTTGTACTACTTACTAAATAAAAACAGAAAACACTCCACCATCAATTCTTAATGCTACATTTGAACTGTGGAGAATTAAACTGACTTTTAACTAACTTGTCACATCACTCCAGACCTTTCACATACATGATGTACAGTCTTATCTAATGTTTTCTTTATTATTATATTAGATTTATTAGGTTATTTTTCTCCTTTTTACTTCTTCTTTCTGGCCAATGAAATAGTTATTAAGTCTGTTATACTTATTCATGGATTGTACGTGAAATGGTTGAAACTGTTACTGTGACAAAAATAAGAATAAATGATGTTTTCTTGTCACCAAGCCGAATAGACAGTTTGATGAGGGAACTCAGATCATTACATTAGAATGCCATGCCAGTTTTGCTTTACTCTAATCTCTGTATCATTTCTCTTTCTCCACAGTTATAAATTGGCTTAACAAGCAGCTGAATGAAAAGCAGCTGTTCAGAAGTCCACAGCCTCCAGAATGTGTGGGCAATCCTTCAGTTTTATCCACAGCCACTGGACTAAGGGTAGGACATATTAGCTGTGTCGGGCCAAACTGAGTAATACACTCTTTGTTGCCTTCATCCTTTCCACTTGCTCACAGTTTTAAGCATACAATCACCATGTAATCACACATATAAAATACAACTGTTCTCAAACATATCTTGATATATTAGTGATGTTTTACATTTGTATTAGGTTTGTAGCCTCATGCCTCACTCAATAATTTAACTCTGAAACCAATTAAAGGCATCATTGTATTTTTTTTCAGGCTCAGTTTTATCCTCAAACAGTCAAACCTGCTGTATCTCCTGGGGTGTCGGCGGACGTCACCCCCGCTGAACAGCGAGCATTGCAGCCAGCCAGCAGACAGATGTGAGTTTGAATGATCGATCTTTCAGACCAAGAGCTGGTTATGTGTTAAAGCACATATGTTTTCTCTTCAGTGGTGACTACCCAGGTCTGGATTCTAAGTACTTTGAGAGGAGAGATGACAGCATCCCGATCTATGGTCTGTCCTCTAATCTGCTTCACAGAGGTAAAACTCATAATCTATTCACCTTCTATGTTAAGTACCTTGAAATAATGTATATTGTGATTTGGTGCTATACAAATAAAATTGAATTGAATTAGAGTACTGCCTTGACTGTAAGCTACAGAATATTCAGTCTAAAGATTAAATACTGGTTTCTGGTGACTGATTTCTAATGTCAGTATTAATTGTGTTAGGCCAGTGATGCTGGTACAAGATATATAGTCTGTTCATGATGCTCACTGTGTCAGGTAGGTGATTATTGAATTATTGATTCTCACCACGACATAAAAGACAAGCACCCTAATAACAGTTTGCTGTCTTTACAACATATGGAAATATATGGAAAAGACTTCCAGTGCCAAAAATGTAAACAAGCTCGGCATCCTGAGTGGTGTCTATGATGCAACCTCTACTCTCTTTCATAGTTCCATCATCAGTCCTCTTTCACTTCGCCATGTTAGCATCTCTGCAGTTTCAAACTTGGGAGTTTTATGGAAAATTAATCAGATAATTGAAATTAATTTCTTTAAATGTTTATTTTCAGAGTTCGCTCAGCAAACAAAGCCTCCTGTAGCTTCTGCTTACTTCTCTGCCTGAAGCAGGAACTACTAGATTCAAGGACAGAAAGACTTTCAACTCAAGGTGGAAAGCAAAACCATAAAATGGTTTTCTTCAGCTGTTTTACAGAACTTTTACTTACCTGCTGTGCTTCACTAACTTGTTTTTGGGTGGCTGTTGTTGATGTTTTAATTTATTTGCCGATGAATCTACTTGTCTGTCTTCTCATTTGTGGTTAAGATAAATGCTGTTAAGACCGGTAGATTCCAATGATCGTGGAGAATGTATTTATCTACAAATGTCTTCTTTCGCATACACTGCATTGTTTGCCATATTTAAGTATTTATTTTATCTGTTTCTTTAGTATTTCTGTTATAAAGTGTAATAAACAGATTTCCATCCTAATTGATATTTACAGTTATTTCATTGATTAATGTAATCTCTCTTTAAACCTTCATCAAATTTACAAAATATGTGAAGTGGAAATATTGGTGGTGTTCAATGTTTACCATCTCATTGCTGTGTCATCTAACTCTTCATTTGAAGAAGTGTTAGCAAAAGTGTTAGCAATATAACAACTTAAACTATTGGAACTATTCGCCATTTAATGCTGATTTTATCTTGTTTAATTCGTCATTAATTATTTTGTGGGTCAATGTGTAACAATTAGCTAAAAGTCAAATTCATACTCCAAAAAAATAGAATGCAGCATATTACCAGAAAGTTGAAGTATCTGCCCTATCATAAATGAATGAAATGCCCTCTTTGGCCCTCCCCCTCCTCTATACCTTAGTGGGACTGGCCATCGGGCACACCAGGATAAGTCCATGTTAAAGAATTAACTTTTTTTCTCTTTTTTATTTTCTGACCCTTTTAGCCATGTGTGCTTGGCCGATGACTGGCCTACACTTCAACCCTCATCTTGAGCTAAGTTTGAGGGAGGTTATTGTCAATCCTTGATTTAATTTCTCAGGGTTTGCCTTCCTCAGTGATTTTTTATTTTTTTTGTGTATATTTTGTGTTTGTGTATCTGAATCTATTTCGTTGTTACATAATTTTCTAAAAAAACAAAAGAAATGATCCTACAGGTTTACGGAGCGACTGTGGCTGAAGGGGTAGAGCATTTGTCCTCAAACTAGAATATCAGCTGCTCAAAATCCAGCTCATGCCGAAGTGTCCTAACCCCAAGATGCTGAAACCCCCCCCAAAAAACATAAATGTTGAATGCACTAATTGTACATTACATTTAGCTGAAGCTTTTATCCTAAGTGACTTACAATAAGTGCATCAACCATGAGGGAACAAACCCAGAACGGACGACTTACTGCTGTCCTGAAGTCAATGGGGAGCTTGTTGCACCATTTAGGAACCCGGACAACAAACAGTTGTGATTTTGTTGAGTGGTTAGCTCACAGCGAACCGATTGGCAGAGCGGAGTGGATGGGCTCGGGGGTAAGGTTAAAGACCAGTCGAGCTGCTGCAGTGATCGGATAGCACTAGCGGGTAGACCAGCCAGGAGGGAGTTGCAGTAGTCTAGGTGTGAGATGACCAGAGCCTGGTCTAATTGTAAGTTGCTTTGGATAAAAGCGTCGACTAAATGCAATGTTGTTTATGTAATCTAACTATGTAGGACTAAGTGGTGGTTATTGTATCCTGTTGTAGTGATTCATACCCCACACTCTGTATAAATCTCTTAATAACTGAGACGTTCTGAGTCATGTTCTACAAAATGAGGCAGCTCGTTGAAAGAAGTTTGAATGACAGACATGACACTTTATTGTATGTGTGCTGTTAGGACCATTTTTGTGTGCATTAGAGACTCCGAGAAGTCTTCTGAACAGTGCCTGTCAATGATTGTTGTGCTTGTGTTTCAGGACTGCTCTGGTTTTGCGTCATGGCGTGGTTCAGGTAGAGGCTTGGGACAAATGGGGTGGATAGCTGGGTCACTGTTGGGCAAGACTCCATTGCAGGGATTGATAAAGAAGGGGCGCACTTTTGCTGGCATAACTGGGTCGACACTGAATGGAGGTCCATGAGATTGAACTTGAACAGGGGGTGAGGTTCCTCCACCGCCAGCATGGGGTGGGGGCCCTCGAATATCATCATGAGCATGGGGTGGGGGCCCTCGAATATCATCATGAGCATGGGGTGGGGGCCCTCGTCTATCATGAGCATGGGGTGGGGGCCCTCGTCTATCATCATGAGCAGGGCGTGGGGGCCCTCTTCGAATAAAGGGATGATCATCATCTCGGTCAGGGTGGCCAACAGGATCAGGAGGAGGCATTGGATGAGACCGTCTACAATGGGGCTCCTGCTCACCTGGGCCGAGAGCAGTAGTGTTCTGTTCAGAAGAACAGACAAAGAGTGAGTTGAAGTGTATATAGCTATGAATAACCTCAGATATCTGGTTCTGGAGTATTACTAGACACACCACAGGTTTAGGGGAACATTCATGTTTAGAATATAGACTCACCACTGGGGTATAATAATCACATTCAACAGACTGAAGTCCAGCTCCATTTGTATAAGATGAACGGCAGGTAGCATAATGCTTTTAAGAGAAGAGAGAGAGACAGTGAGAGCGAGTGGGACACAGAAACACAGAACGAGAGACATAATGATATTATATTTGAAAACAAGGCACTGCCTGTAGCTCTGATTTTAGACTTTCATATTACTGTGGGGATCATCGACATGGTTACTATTTGATTTTGAACATAAAATATATATGTTGGGAAAAACAATTTGTCAATAAATAATAAACAGATTTTCAAGGAGAAATATAAAATAAGAAATGATGTTCGAAAAGAAGTAAGGACAAGATACAATGCTTGTCTAGCCCTACCCCTAATTTATGTCAATACACCAATAATTCAATTCATCACATACTACTGCTACTATAACTGCTAATGTTATACCTACTAATAATAAAAAAATAGCACCAAATCTTCGAAGTGCTTCACAAACTTAAATAAAACACACTAAAACAATGAGAAAAAACAATAATTACATGACATCTAAACTCTAGTGACTGTGGGTGATCAGCAGTTTCAGAAATACTCAAACTCTAGGTAAAAATATCAGAAACACTTTGCATACTTAGCTATTTTGAGTTCGTTCATTTGAGTAATATTGTTGTTAATTGTCAGATTTAATAATGAAAGATTCTACAGTTTTAGCAGAGACAAAAGAAATAGACCCGATGATCACACCTCTTTAACCGATCAGACTTTAGATTGAGTTAGAGGTACAGTGTGTGATATCTAGTGTTGCATGTTGCAGCTGAACACCCCTCACCTCACCCTCTCCTTCCAAACATGAAAAAGAACCTGTGGTAGACTTTAATTGTTATAAAAACTCAAAAGGTGTTTAGTTTGTCCAGACTGGACTAATGTAAAAAACATTACACAGCATCACCGGCCTCTGTAGAGAGGACCCCCTCGATGTAAATATAAAGTATTTAAATATAAAGGGCCTTTTCTGGGGTAAAGAAAACTACAATTCATACACTTTAGATGAAATGAACTAGTGAAAGTTCCCTTTCACCTAAATCTTACACACTGGACCCACCCAATTAACATAATAAATACGAAAATGAAAGTAGAAATGAATAAATAAATCAATGTAGGAATACAGACTCAGATCACAAACTGTATCTGTTTTGTCATGCTCATGTTATTTTTGCCCTTCATATGCTCTCAGTATGTATGTTTTAATATTTTTCAATTAAATACAATTTCCGGTAAGTCCACTGCTCTGATAAGTATATCATGTACATAGTGTTCTACATGTGAGTGTACTGACAGTACTGGCAGATTGAGACACACGGTTATTGAGGACCTCATGAAGTGCATCGTCAATTGCATGAACTGTTTTGAATGGGCAGTTGTGAAGATTGCATCTCTAACATACTTCACCCTCACGTAAACTGTGATCCCATCAATGACATTACAGCCTTAAGATCTCCTTGTGTCTTGTGTTTAAAGTCTACATGAAAGTCTGCTCACATATTCTGATCTCTTATCAGTTCAGTACACATCGTCCCAAAACCTCTGTATGAAAGAGTTCTACTTACGGCTCTGTCAGGGCAGAGGGGCTCGCATGCTTCAGGGACAATTCTGGATCCCATTGGGCAATGACTCTCCACAATTACAAACTCAGCAGCGTAGAACATCCCCTGTGACGGTATGTACTGAGGGAGGAGAAGGTCAGAGTAAATCAGGGACATGTGCAGGGTTTAAAGGGATACACACTGCTGTGTGATATAGTCAAATTTGGAATGGCACTTGTCAATGAGGGAAAAAGTGGATTTTCTGGTCAGTGGTTAGGGTTTGATTAAGGTTGGGGATTAGGGATTGGTAAGTAGAGTCTGTGCGTGCGTTTGTGCAAATTCTTTGTACCCCACTCAACACTCGTCCCACTTCCTTCAGGACGTAGTAGTGCACGTTGGTGTTGTTCATGTTGACTTTTTGCACAGCTTTTCTAACAGAGTTGACACCCTCGAGGCTGGAGAGTGGTATCAGCGAGGGACAGTCAGGGCACATCCCTATCATCTCCCCTACATACACACACAGAATTCTTTTTGTGAATCAACCTGCTTACTTAGGAGTGTTGATATCACGTGTTTGTGAGGTGAATTGTGATGATAACTGTAACACAAAATTGCTTCACAGTGAGAAAGTGTATGTGTTTTTATATACACTCACATAATAAATAAATACTATGATAAATACTTACTAATAATACAATAAATAAATATCAGTACAGAGCTAAAAAGTTGTGACTTTTCATTCTGATTTCAGCTTCAATCAAAACATAGTGGAGATTGGCACTTAATGCAAAAAACAAACAAACAGTGGGGAACTGTTCTATCTGGTGCTGGGTTGGGATACAATTAAGAAGAGAAGCCCACCTTTTCGCGTGTCACAGTTGTATCTGTTGACATCAGCTTTGCCAGATTTTACTGTCATCATGACAGTGCAGTTTGCCTTCACTATCTGCAGAGAAACAGAGACAGTGAACTGCAGATACTGCAAAGCAAGATCTTGGAGAAAAGATGAAAGTAACGTAGGTTTAATAATGGGGAACTAGTTTAAATAAATAGTTGTTTAGCATTTACAGTTTCAGAATCATAACGGGTTTCACAGTCCTCGAAGTGTTTGGGGATGACAGTGGGACACTTTGTCTCCAGAAGGTCCAAGTGTAACTCAATGGTACATCCGTCATCAACCTGGAAATAACAGAGAGGAAATCACTCTTTTTCATGTCCCCGCAGAACTAACAGTCTTGTTTTTGCCACGCAGACATTGTGGCCAATGGAATATAATCAAGAAAATATGCAGACAACATCTTAATGTCCAAAAACACATTGTTCCCCAGTCCTCCTTATGGACTGCCACACACGTTTTACTCACTCCATTCCTGCAGGTAGGGCTACAGTGTACAATTAATAAGTAATTGCATATCTTATTTGGAATGTAACATTAGAATCTACAATGTGGAAGTAAAAAGACAATATTACAGTCTGAGTTGATTTGCAATTAAATCTAAATAATAAACATTTTCACAGGACTACAACCTAAAGTCAAATTAAAAGATAATAGTTCTCCTATTCTGGTTGCAATACCATCTCCATTTTGTTCCCTTTGATCCCACTGAGCCGGAACTTGTAGCCATGGATGTGGTGCTCGTTGATGTCATGCAGTGCCAGACGTGCTGCTGCAGCACTGTTATCCTCATTGCACGTCACCGGCTCCAAAGCTGGAGCAGCGCTGCAGAGCAGCACCGCTGAGACCAGCAGCACCAGGACATGTAATGCCTTCATGGTGCAGAGGGGAGAGATACCACTGACGGCTGCAGCCGGGCATGTTATATAGACTTGGACAGGTTAACAAGAGCCAGTGGGAGGCAGAGAGAGTGGCAAACAGGAGGAGGGATGAGGGGGAGGGAGATAGGAGACAGAAGAAGTGTAGCATGAGGACAAGAACACAGCGCTGCCAAAGTCCAAGAACAAACAGAGACTTTAACCTGAGCAGCACAGCTTGTTTTGGAACCCTGTCAGTCTCTTCAGCTTTTTGCTGCCACTATACCAGCACTTCAACTTAATAAGATGCACTCACAGCTTCATAACTTTTCATGTTGCACTTGTACTACAGTACATACTGGAAGAGCACTTCTACACCCAGTGATTGTCATGTTGGCTGGGACACTGTCGAGCTGCCACAGCATACACAGGGCAGACGATGTTTGGAGTAGCCACTTGACAGGGAGGAGTAAAAAGTTGCCATTGTTGTCATTTTCGTGTTTGACCCTGTCAGCCTCACATAACAGGAACTTACCACCTGCTCAGGTCCCTCGTTGAACCATAGAACAGTTTTTTCCTAGTCTTATCAACAAGGCCCGGAACCCACCCTGACACTCTTTCACACTCCACCTCTGCCTCCATATGTCACATTGACACTGCATTAACTACTCTATGCGTTACATTAACGCTCAGCTACATACTTATATTGGAAATACTCTGCATACTGCGAACACTTGCACATTGTACTTACTCAGCTGTACTGCTCTTCCTATTTTTCCTTTTTTACCTTCAAAAACATACTGTGTACATATTTTTATATTTATATTGTTAAATTTTAATACTTGATTTTTTGTTGTTGTTGTTGTTGTTATATTTAGAGATGTCTGACATGCACCAACAACATCAAAACAAATTCCATGTAAGTGTAAACTTACTTGGTAATAAAAGCTTTTCTGATTCTGATTCTGATTCTGATATCATTCTATGAACCACTAAGCCACAAAAAATGACCTACTGTTGAGCAGTGGAGCATTTCTTGGACTGAACAGTCAAATTAGCTCGATCGAGACACTGTAGTGTCTTTGAGATGCTCATTCTGCCATGTGAGGCTACAGATGATAATATCCTCAGCTGATAGGACTCGGAGGCTGTATAACAGTGAATAATAACCCTGAGGAGGTCTGAGGGTGGTCTGTCCTCAGCAGCTAAGGGGCACCTGCCCAAAGCCTTTATACCAGTTTTCATGCTGATGCACACATTCATACATTTAACATTTATTGACACACTGACGAAGGATCTTTGAGGATGCCGTGTTTACCAAGGAGGTCCACCCACTAAGAACAACTGCTGGCTATTGATCTCTAGGGACAGACCCAAATACATTTGACCGTTTTCTGTGCTTTGGTGCAGAAACCGGTCAGATGAAAGCTGCCTGTTGTTTACTGAGCATTAATTACTCATCACAGAACTCTGCATCCCCACCATGACCACTATTCAACTATTTACATCAATATGTTTCCCTAGTGCATTTTTGTTCAAAAGAAACACTATATTTTTGCAATGGACACTTTAATTTGTGCCATATGTGGGGGACAGCTGTGGCTAAGGGGTAGAACGTTCGCCCTCCAACCAGAAGGTTGGCAGTTTGATCCCAGTCTTCCCTATCTGCATGCCGAAGTGTCCTTGGGCAAGATGCTGAACCCAGAATTGCCCCTCATAGAAAACAAAAGGGCTGCATATAGATACACTGTATGAATGTGTGTATGTGAATGTGCACTGTAAAGTGCTTTTAGTGGTCATCAAGAAAAGTACTATATAAATACAAACAATTTACCATTGCTGATTGAACGTCACTTTCTAGCAGAAAGACGTCGGGAAGTCAGGTGAGTTGATATGAAGAGTGATGGAGAAGAGCTCATGGTCACATTCAGTTTCCAGTTGCAGTTTGGTTGAGTTTCTTCATCAAGGAGGTCATGTTCTGTACGTCAGTTCTGTTAGTTAGAAGGATTGTGTATAATACTGGACGATAAACAATTCATTCAAAGCAGCATTAAGGAGACTGACATTCATGAGGGTGTGAAATTTGGTGCAGATCCAAATTAAATTCTGGATTTAGTGAATTCAAATTTGGTTTTAAAAGGGGACTGTTGTCATAATTAAAACTGTTAACTTATAATTATTAGTAACTTTTATCATTATTGTAATTTGCTTTTAGCATTTACTATAGAAACTACACTTGTAATACAACTGTAAAATGTATCCATTCATTTACATTTAAGGGTGAATTAGTCAAGTAAAACTATAACCTTCATTCATCCACACATCTGGGTAACAGCTAATGTTGCAGGCTCATGAACTTAAAAAGCTAAGCCATGATTTATGTATCATACAGAGAAACTTCCGTCAATCAGTCAAATTCAATCCAATTTGATTTGTATAGCCCATATTCACAAATTACAATTTGTCTCATAGGGCTTTAACAAGGTGTGACATCCTCTGCCCTTAACCATCAACAAGAGTAAGGAAAAAGTAAAAAAAAACCTTTTAACAGAGACAAAAAATTACTTAGAAACCTCTTAGAGAGCCACATGTGAGGGATCCCTCTCCCAGGACGGACAGAAGTGTAATAGGTGCCACGTGTAATGGAGAACGTCAGAAAAATAAGTGTAATTACAGCATTGGCTAGAGTGAATAGTTTGTAGCATGATGGAAGGTAAATGAATTGAGGAGTTATTGTCAGTAATGGTATTTATAATGGTAAGTATCTGAGGAGACATATTGTCTATCAAGCAGTCTTGTTGTAACCATAGTCCACAATCGGCTGCCACCACGATCGGGATACACCAGTATAATCCATCATCCTGATCCATTGCCGCCATCATGACCCACCATCAGCTGCCACCTTAATCGTGGTCCACCACTACGATCAGATGCCAGCACAATACAGGATCCGCCATTATGATCACGATCTCTGATTCGCAATCCACCATCATAATCCATGATGTGACCGCAGTTGCGGCCCTGGATCTGCGAGCAATTAGTCACAGGCACTCCAGGGAAGAAGTCAAGTCAGTAACATGTATTGATGTGATATTAAGTTATTTGATGTGATAAGGAGGGAGAAGAGGAAAGAGAAACTCCATGTGTCATGTGTCCCTCGACATTCTAAACCTATAGCAGCATAACTAAGAGCAGATCTAAGACAAGCCTGGACCAGTTCTAACTATAAGCTTTATCAGAAAGGAAGGTTTTAAGCCTACTTTTAAGCCCTCTAAATGTAGGGAGGGTGTCTGCCTCTTGAACTGAAACTGGGAGATGATTCCACAGGAGAGGAGCTTGATAGCTGAAAGCTCTGGCTCCTACTCTACTTTTAGGGACGACAAGTAAGCCTGAATTCTAGGAGTGCAGTGCTCTAGTAGTGTGATAGGGTACTATGAGCTCTTTAAAGTATGATGATGCCATATTATTAAGGGCCTATATAGAATTTAGAATTTGATGATCAATAGTGTTGAATGCTGCACTAAGCTCTAACAGGACAAGGACAGATACAAACCCTTGATCTGAAGCTAATAGAAGGTCATTAATGACTTTTGCCAAGGCTGTCTCTGTGCTGTGATGAGCTCCTTATCCTGACTGAAAGTATTCATATACATTACTTTCCTGGAGAAACTCACACAGCTGATTGGCTACAACCTTCTTGAGGATTTTAGAGAGGAAAGGGAAGTTGGATATTTCTCTGTAATTGGCTAAAACCTCCGGGTCCAGGGTGGGTTTTTTGAGAAGGGGTTTGATCTTAAAGGACTTTGGTAAATACCTTGATGATAATGATAGATTGATTATATTCAGTAAAGTAATATTAATTAGGGGAAGATACAAGTTGTGGGTTTAGAGGATGAAATCGTTGTGGTCAGCTGGGTAATCAGAGAGAAGCTTGTAGATTGTAGATTTTATTTCTAATAGTTAGAATTGTATCATCAAAGAAGATCATAAAGACATTGCTATTCGGGGAAGGAGGGATACTGGGTTGAATGGAGGTGTGACTCTCTGTCAGCCTGGCTACAGTGCTGAAGAGAAACCTGGGGTTGTTTTTATTTTCCTCTATCAATGTGGAGTAGTAAGCAGCTCTTGCTTTGTGGAGGGACTTATTACACTATCTTTCCAGGCTAGATGATTTTCAACGCACTTGTCGGAGTGCCACTTCTTTTATAGTTTTCTTGATGCTTGTTTTAATTCATGTTTGTTGGAATTACACCAGGGAGCTAATTTACTTTGTTTTACACGCTTCTTTTTTAAAGGCATTATGGAGTCTCATGTTAGTCGTAATGAGTTTACAGAGCTATCGACAAAATGGTCAATTTCAGTGGAGCTTGGGTTTTTAAAGAATTTGTTGGTTACATCGCCGGATAATACGGGGTTAAATGTAATTGGAATTATTTCCTTAAATTTAGCTACAGCACTATCACGCAGACATCTAGAAAATTTGTGTTTTATTAATGGCATGTACCCTGATAATGAAAAATCAAAGCTTATTAAGTTATGGTCTGATAGAATTGGATTATTTATTAACTGACCTGGCTACAAATAATTTTAAAGCCAGTATGAAAAACACTGAAGATTGCACAGAATACGTGTTAGTCATTACAACATAATGTCAAGGTTAGGAGTTGTACCAGGGGACTGATAAATAAATATGCACAGTGAGTCAGCAATATGGTGATATAAGAGTCAGGCTCCCACATTTAATAATTATCCAGGAATCGACCAGACGTCAGGACTGGACAGACATGATTCAGTCTTGGCTTACAAATATCCTCATCTACAGAATGTTCACACTGTATGTATACCTGAGCAGTACAAATATCACAAAAGACACAAACTATTGCTTTTGTACAATCAAATGAATACAGACAAACCCGTCAGGCAGATATTTTTATCTGCCTGAATCATATATATTCCCTCTGCCTGCTCCTTCTAACTTCTTATGATTCTTCCTCAGTCTGCATTTTTAGATCTGTGCCTGCCTTTGACCCTTTGGTATTTTGCCTCGTCTGCCTGTTAACAAACCTTGCTCCAGTCATTGACCCAGAAACATTTGCTTTTTCACTTACCTGCCAAGCCAGAGTTGTGCCAGAGTCTAAATCAACAGGCAAGCCAAGTGATAGATTGATTTAATTTCTGTTGGGAGGGAAGCTCAAAACAGAGCTGGAAAAAAAATGGGACCTTTTAAAGTTGTAAATGCAAGAATGTTACAAAAAAAACCATACAAATGTCCTTGAACATCCATGGAAGAAGCAAGTTCCATCCTTTACCGAGAGTAATAACCCACTAATTCAAAGGAATTCAAAGTACTTTCCAGAGACATGGAAATACATGAAAGGAAGATAATCCAACTGCATGTAAAAGACAATAAAAACAAGGCGGTTCAAATGTCGTAGAATAATTAATGAGTAGAATAATTAAAAACATGAAGAAAAATATCAACTAAAACAAATAAAAGCAAACACATGACAATAAATAGTTAAAGATTAACATGTGATACGATTATAAGTATGATATGTACCTCAATCGTAGGCACACAATAGTGTGTTTAAGCCCTGATGTAAATGAACTGATCAGACCTCAGGTGTTCTGGAAACTTGTTCCACAGATGAGGAGCAAAGAGACTAAAAGCTGCCTCACTTTGATTGGTTTTGATTTTGTGACTAAATCTGTCCCAGATGGTCTGAAGGGTCTGGATTGTTCGTAACATACAAGTAGATCAGAGATGGATTTGCTTTGTCACACAGGAAGCCAGTGCAGTTGAGGAACTTAAAGGATGAGTTATTTTGTTTTACTGAAACCTGTAAAGACGCATTACCATTTACCTGCTGAAAATATCCACATTTACCAATTTCTGTGGGCATTTGTTTGGTGTAGCTATTAATGGTGTAGAAGAACAAACTGCAACACACAGGTTCTCACCATTTTGCACTCAACAGAGGGAAGCAACTCAATCAATATAAATGAAATCAGTGAGCAGCAATGAGCAAAATTGTGTACAAAGACCACATCAGACCAATCACACACACTTGAGTTGCTGAAGTAAGTACTTCATCATGAAGCGCATAGTTCTGTCATTTGTCTTCGCTTCATTAGACGTGAAGGAAAGTCTGTGTATGTGTTCAGGAGGGAACACAAGATGTCGTTGGTGAGTTCTATCACAGTTGCTCAAAAGCGTCTGAGTTATGATCAAATATGTGATAGGTCCTATGTGATAGCATGCCCAACTTGATATTGATGGCTTTTCTAGTAAACATTTTTGTGTCAGTCCGTCTCATTCCTGTGAATGCCACATCTCAGGAATACCATGAGTCAATGTCTTCAAATTTGATTAAAAACAGTCACTCAGATTCAAACATGAACAAATTGTATTTTGGTGGTCAAAGGTCAAAAGGTCAAGGTCATATGACCGTGTGTTGTTTTGAACACAATATATAAGGGATAGCCAAAGAGATTTTCATTACATGTTGCATAAATATTCACTTAGACTCAATGATGACCTGAAAAGAATTTGGAGGTCAAAGAACAAGGTCCCTGTGACCTCACAAAGCATGTTTTGGGGTATTTGTTGAACCCCCTGCAGCTTTAAAGTGCTTTCAAAAGTCTATTCCCCACTGAGGCTTGTATCTCCGACCCACAAGAGTGCTTTCCAAGGTTGGTCATATACTCTGAAGTCATGTTCCAAGCACAAATGATCTTGCATTTTACACTTAATTAAGACACGTCCTGCAAAGGCTCACCAGAGAATTGGGTCTGGACTTTCTCTACAATTTTCCTTTCACACATTCACTACGCAGCTCATGGTTCTCTGCTCAGACGTGTTCACGACAGCAACAAATTCTCCACAGGATTCAGGTGAGGGGCTCTTATCACCAAAAACTCTTTTGACATCTTTGTGGGTGTATGGCTTCGCTTTTTTACCCAGAGATATTTACGTTTCCTTCAGTTTTCATTTTTGTTTCTGTCACGTGTTGGAAGTGGCATTTCAAAGATGAGAGGTTACAATATGTCCTCTGAGCAGCGCTGAGTCTTCATGACAGACTGGACTTGTGATGAGGTGGTAATCATGGACTATGATTAGACTGCTTAATATACAATACGCCTACTCACATAGTCTACCATTACTGATAATAACTCCTCAATTTCAATTGTCATTGCTGCTCCCTTCATCTCTATCAGACATTTTCTTATGTATGAAAACTTTAAACATTGACACACTCTCCATTATGTTTAAATAGATGTACTAAAATGTTGTGGATATAGTAATTTTGTTGATGTGTTCAGTTATGCGTGGTTTTTTACCCTGTTTATAAAAGTTTTTGGGTAAATTTTCTTCACTCTTGCAATTGTGATTTGTGAATATAGGCTATTTAAATAAAATATGATTGATTGCTTGACTCTACTGTGATGCGCTGTTGTAAAATGAGAAGATGGGCTGGAGGCTGCTGGCTGGCAGAACAAGAAGAATAGAACAAGAAGCAAAACAAGAGTTGCTTCCCATTACTGGAGACAGCTCTCTCCTACAGGTACTAATGCTAGCGTTGGCTAAATAGCAACAAAAGTTGAGATGGTGACATCTCACAAATATCTGGGTGTTCACTTGAACAATAAAATGGACTGGACACACACACACTCTACAAGAAGGGTCAGAGCAGGCTGTACCTGCTGAGGAGGCTGAGGTCTTTTGGAGTACAGGGGCCACTCCTCATGACCTTCTACAACACAGTGGTGGCATCAGTCATTTTCCAGGGAATGGTCTGCTGGAACAGCAGCATTTCAGCTGCGGACAGGAAGAGACTGAATAAACTGATCAGAAGGGTCAGTTCTGTCCTGGGGAGCTCTCTGGAACCAGTGGAGGTGGTGGGAGACTGGGGGATGTTGGTCAAACTGTCCTCCATGATGGAGATGGTCTCCCACCCCATGCACAACTTTTTAACAACACCGAGCAGCTCCTTCAGTGACAGAGTCCTTCACCCAGACTCAGATTCAGGAAGTCCTTCCCTCCTGCTGCTGTCAGACTGTACAACAAGCACTGCACCCAGTAGACCACCATACACACTCTCTCTCTCTCTCTCACTTACACACACGCACACACACACACACACACACACACACAGAACCTCGTCATGTACAACCAATGTCAGAAGTCTAAGTGCAATTTGTATATAGTAATTTATCTTGTTTAACTTATCTTTACTTTATATTCTTCATTTTTCATGCTTGTTGATTATCTTGCTGTTGCGATGCTGTTAATTTCCAAATCTTGGGACAATAAAGGAATTCTGATTCTGATTCTGATAGCAAAACACATTTAGCGCTTTTAAGAGAGGGAAATATTTTCAAGGAGAAACGGTAAAATAATTCTAACAGTATCCTACAGGAGGAGCCTTTCTCACAGGAATATAGTTTTGGGCCACTGTATTAGGTGATAACACAATATAAAAAGAGAGGTGTACAATCTTGTGCATGGATCATCTCTAATTTCATTGTTGACACAAAAACATTGTGACAACAACCAAACAAGAGAAGGACTGAACATAGGGCTGATGGGAAGAAAAAAACCACAAAACCCTCTTTAATTATTTTGAAGACATTTAGATGGACAAAGAGTTTATTTGTGAGGCTGAAAAGAAATGGACTGACTCCAACCAGACTTTAGACAGTTTGTTTGTGCTGTCTGTTCAATTTCCCCTAAATGTGATTTGGGAAAAACAAATGAGCTCCTTGGCTTTAGTGATTCATGCTGGCGAGTGATTTGCTGAACCTGGTTAAACAGTAACTGCTCATAGGGACGCTGACAGAAGAAAAGCAAATGCACCCACGGTGTGGACAGTGATGATACCGGATCACTGGACAACATAGTGGTATTCTTTTAGTTGGGGGATTTTTAATGCGATAATTTCCCCAAAACTCAAGAGCGAGAGCAGAAATCTGAGAGCAGATGTTTCGTGAGTGCACAGAAGCAGCCTGAGACTGAGGGTGAAGCACAGGACATTTATGCAAACAACAGTGTATCTGAGTACAAATGGTTCTGAGCAGAAGCAGAGCTAATTTGCGTATGAGCTTGGGCTATTTGAGAGAGAGGCGTTATGAAGGAAAACTTTACAGAAACTGAATGTGAAACGAAGTGATTCTCTCAAAATGAAAGACCACACCATTGAATAAAGATCAGAGATGATTTCATATTCATATAAAACCCTATATACATCAACATAGAAAGAACTGTGTGAGAGACACACCCCTTTAAACACATAGCGCCCAAAGTTTGGTGGATAAAAGTAATTGGACAGACACACTGAGTGTCCTTCAGCTCTTCACCTTGTTGTGAGGTCCCTCTGTCTTTGGTTGCTTTGGCTGTATGTTCCAGATTGTTGCTGCTGGACGATGACACACTTGATACTGAGAAAGCTCCTGTAAACCTCTGCATTCATCCTGTTGTTTGTGTCAGCAGTAAAACCATCAATACAAACCACTTTGCCGGTTCCGTTGGAGTCGTACACACGAGCAGAACCACATTGGACAGACGAGGTTGTGGTTTTGTGGTCACTCGTTTATTCATTCATTTTGATAGAAGTAGATTTTAGTGTCATCAGTCCATAAAACTTCTTTCCACAACTCTTTAAGTATGAGTCTTTGGACTGCAGCCGGATCTGTTTGTTGAAAGATCAGGTTGATGTAGCAGTGGTTCACGACCATCGTCTTTGTCCTTTTCTAGCTTTCATGTTCACTCTTGTCTTTTAAGAGTGCACCCAACTGTTAAATTAACTTTAATATCTCTATCTCAGTTGTTTTCTTCCCTCTTTGAGCCTCGTTATTGTCTTCTTTACAAAAACGTTCACCTCTTTACTCCTAGTTGACAGATGACACAATCTAAACTCTGTTTTTCATACAGGAACGTATGTTAAAGTGTCTATGCAATAAAAAGGTTATATCGCACACAGTTCTTTCAATATCAACATCTAAACCTACTCAAATTAAAGATGAGGTTTGGCACTTTATTCTAAAATCAAGGATTTTAGCTCTGAAGAGAATATGAACATTTTACCTTTTAGTCTTTTGCATAAAACATAAGGCTTTTAATTGGAAAAACACATCCACAAACCTTTTAAGAACAGATTTTCTGTTCCTCGAGCCTGTATTCGTGCAGACCACCTGTGGATTGTTTGTCTGACTCTTTTGAAGTGAATTTCTTACTAGTTTGTTAAACCTGTGAGACTAGAATACATATCATGTTGCTGACCACTTATTAATCTAATTCTATTGGACACATTTTTAACATTAAAATGCTATTTCGTTTTTATAGCATCTTACTCTACTGTATTTTTGTTGTTTGATTACTGGATATTCTGTATTGGTTACATAGCTGAAAAGCCTTATTTCCCCACTGTATGAACAGATTCATGTTATCTCATATTAAATACTCAGATGTTGAACTGTTGATGTTGCACACGATTGGCTTAGTAACCTGCTTCATGACACAAATACCCAGAATTACCAATGTTGGGATCAGGACCAGCTAACCCGCTGAGAGACAGAGTAGCATGGATGGAGGGATGAAGTCACTTTGTGATACAGACGATTAAAAAGTGATATGATATTTAGAAATAAATAGTAACAAAATTCAGCTGTTACAGTCCCACTATCACTATAATGTTTTCAAAATAAATTAAGACATTAATAACAGTTACAAAATAAATAAGGGTTCCCACATGCTCATGGACTGAAAGATTTCATGGCTTCCCCCTTTATCACCCTGCAAATAACTAATGAGCTTTGTGTGATGTCTTGAGGGGACAAAGGTCAACTCCTGAACAACAATGACGGTGAAGGTTTCTGCGATGAAAGGAGCTCTGATAAATGCTTCCAGATGTTCATGTACAGGACAGTTCAGTTCAGTGATGTGCAGCTCAGTATATACCTGGGTCCACTTCACTTTGTCTACAGCACAGGGCCTTTGACTGGCCATTACCACTGATGTTTTGGCATGCAAGTTCACACAAAGTCCACTGGAAAGCCTCAGTACTATTGATTTAAACCAGATTGTGAGCTCTGCCGTGTCTGTAAACCTTCTCCAATGAGAGTCCATAACTGTGAATGAGTCTTGAAGAAAGTAAATCCTTCCAGAAACCTCTGTGTTGCAGTGGGTTCTGTCCCCCCTTCAGCAGTGAATCTCGTACGCGATCTGAGAGTCCATGAACAGGCCTGTGTGGTTAAGAAACATCCCTTCAGCCTCTGATGTAATCACAGGCTCAGCCTCCCCTCCCTCCCCCGCCATTCTCCTCATGGTCCGTATGTCACCCTCTGGCTGCAGCTGCTGCTGCTGCTGCTGTTTGTTGGGGGCAAGAGTTGGAGTCACGGTCTGGCCAGGCCCTGAGGAGAGGGTGTGGCTGGAGGTGTCCGATGGAGCGGGGCAACCCAGGTTAGTGGTGGAGACAGCGGTGGGTGGAGCAGGAGGCAGCACTGGTTTGGCCCGGTTGAGGACGTACATCTCATGGCCGCGCTCATCACGGTACTCCTCCAGCTGGGCGAAGGTGGTGGGCCCGTCAGAGTAGTCGTTCACATACAGGATGCTCTCCTCCTGCAGGGTAAAATTCACTTTTGTTACTTTTGGGGTATAAGAATATATATGGTTACACATGCGACAAAGTGTGCACATTTCATGTTTTTGCATTCATGAAAGAAAATGTTTGTGCCGCTCCAGCACAAGTAGGCAACTTTTCTTTTTCTCAAAAAGTCGCCCTCTGCCTCCACTACCATCATCAGTGCCCTTGAAAAATATGCATCTTTCAACCACTTGACCCGCAAACCCCCTATAGCATTAGAGACTTGAACAGCAATATAAAGTGGAGACCAAACTCCCAACACATAATAATAAGTAAAATCATAGAGTAATCTATAGTTTCTATGCTTTGCTTTGATTTGGTAACATTTTAGTTTTCTCATTGCGATATGTTAGAAGATGACGTACAGTATTGTAGTATTTTGTCAGCCACTGCTCCTGGCACAGAAACTCAATAGTCTGATTTAAATATTACAGACATATAAAACTAGGGTATGCATATTATAAGATATAAACTATGAATATCAGGATGTACAAAAAGAAAAAAAGACCAAACCATAGAAAAGTCTGGAGGTTTTCATATCTTACAGCTGTACTGAATGAGTGAGGGTATGATGTTGCAAAAAATATTGTCAAGACAGATAAGAAAATGCCAATCCATGAAGAGTGTTGTATGTAATAAGTTTAATAGGTACTTTAAGTGACATACCTTGTCTACCCATGACTTATTCCTTATTTTTGTAACCCTTGACACAGTTTACAAAAACAAACTGACCTGGATTTAGACATCTATCTTGTTGTATTGGACCATTTAAATGTGGTTCTAAATCACCACTTATTTAATAATAGATGTTTACTCATCTTTGCTGAGGTTTGTTTAAGCATTTGAAAAGTTGTCTTCATCTTTATCAAATGGTAACTTTAGATGCATTGATAGAAGAGAAAGAATTTATATGCTGAAGATATGCAGCATGTGTTTGTGTTACACTTTCAAATTTGGCTATTAAGAGCACAACAAGTGGCTTTCTCATGTTTCCTTCATGATGAGATTTTTTATGATTTTCTGTATGAGCACCAATATTTATTTTTGTCACAGTTTGGCTGTGAGCTGCTGATCCTGTATAAGTCCATCAGACCTCTCAGGCCTTTAAAGCAGGGGCTCCTAGTGTTGCCTCACTCAAAGTCTTGTGGTTCTTGTTGCCTGTTTTTATAACAGATGCATTTGTACCTCTGGTTTTGGTAGTGCTGAATAAAGCTCTACTTACTGCATACGCATCTTTCAGACCCCATTTTGTGCGGACGCTACTTCAAACGCAAACATTGGGATCTAGAAAAGCAAACTTGACGGGAGAATGTGCCCACTTTTATGCAAACTCAAACCCATGTGTATGATCATTTTGGAGACAGGAAAGTAGTGATGCTGACGTGAGGAGGTGATTTGAAGCCAGATTATAGATCCACGTCATAATTAACAGCGTTATTTATGCCCGCACAACATAACTGTTCCATAACAACATTCAATTGTAAAAGAACAATGAAAGCAAATGATGGTGAAATAGCAAAAAAGAACAGTTACATAACCCAGTGATTAATAGTTTTTAATAATATTGTCTGATAACACTGCGCCTGTATCACCAAGTACAATTTAGGTTTTTATAAAGTGACTGGAGACTAATAACAAGAAATAAAAAAACTGTGTTCAACTTTGAACTTTGATTTCCGAATGATCCCAGAGTAGAGGTGAGGATCCCACTGATGTGTTCTGACACTGTCCTCTTTGTCGTATTCACTCTCGCTGCATTAACACCATCAGCAACACGTTATCACTCAGTGCATTTTCTTTTCATGAGGGATAGCACTGCTGTGGCCACCACACAATCTGTCTTTCCTCACCTCCACCTCACTAACAAAAACCTTGATGACCATTCATGGTTTAATGTGGGTGTGTAGAGGTTTTGAGGTAGATCCACGTACCCATGTTTACAGAGGGAGTGTGATTTATGAAGGGAACATGGCCTTCAGGTGTGGGTGTGCACGGTTTTATAAATCTGAATCTTTTTGGCCTTTGTGCACATGTACACTTTTAGTATGAATCCTACTCACTGTTTTATAAATGAGGCCCCTGGTCTGTAAGGTAGACATTTGAATCCAGTCATACTTTCTTTTGATCTTAGTCTATTGTCAGAGATAAATATTACATGAAATGTTAACAAGACTTTGCAGACTGAGCTTCCTCAAAGTAATGTGTCAGCAGTACAACATATTTTTGTCAAGCCAAAATCAGTTCCTCTAATTTATCAGTTTGGACGAACACACACCTTCTCAGCTCCATCAGCCTCCTTATCGCGTTGGTGATGTCGGCTGTAGATCATGGCGACCAGCAGCAGAGCGGTCAGAGCCAGCAGGGAGATGCCCACAGCGATGGCAGTCTGAGTGGCAGCTCCCAGAGCACTGAAGGCCATGCTGCCCAGAGCGTAAAGGGGTTCCCGACTCACATCTGAGCCCAAAGCCGAGCCGTGGTTCCTCAGCCGGGGCCAGACAGGGGAGTATGGCGAGGACACTTGGGACCAAGACGCCCAGATGGAGGAGGAGGAGGAAGTGGATGAGTTAATGGCGAGCTGAAAGGTCACCCTGGCCACGCCCCCTGCATTCCAGGCTTCACATTCGTAGAAACCTGCGTGAGCCACAGTCACATTACTGAGAAACAGCATGCCACTGCCAGTGTCAGGGTCAAAGCGCTCGCCTTCAGTCTTCTGCAGACTGACCCTGCCTTCCTCTGAGGGCTCCTCTGCCCCGCCTACTCCCCCTCCTCCAGCACCCAGCTCCTGAACCAGGCCTCGGGGAGAGAGCACAACTTTACCCTGGGATGCTTTCCTCCAGGTCACCTGCAAGAACATTCAGAGTTTACTGATCAGTCATGTCTTCTTTCACCTGTTTTCGAAAGCATTACACTTTAAAAAAAGATTTGGAAACAATGAGACCATTCACACACTACATCCTAAAATTCAGAGAGAGTCATCTTAAGGTGATGACATGCAAACTGCTGATGGAGTACTTTGAATGCTGAAACAAACCAGCACTGTGCTGTGCTGCTGGAAGTTACTTATTTACTTGATGTGTCCCTACCTGTGGCCGAGGATAACCAGAGGCATGGCAGGACACCCTAAGGCTCTCCCCCAGGCGCACAGCTAGCCTCCTGGGCTCCAGCTGCACCAGTGGAGGGATGCATACCAGGCTGTTGAGCGGAACCTCCACCAGACTGAGGTGGGAGAGACGTGGCGGTTCGATGCAGACCAGCCGACGCTCTGCAGAGCTGAGCAGCCGCTGCCCTGCCTCATCAATCCAGCTCCTCAACCAGTGGAGAGCACAGTCACAACGCCATGGGTTATCTACAGCAAAGCAGAGGATGAGAGGTTAGGCTGGAATGTCTCTATGGTGAAACAGAGGTCCTAGTTACTGGCTGTGGTTGAAGGACAACAGACAGATGTTTAGCGATGAGGGTTTATAGTGATTTGTATTCAACAGAAAATGTATGAATGGTTTTAAACTGACCCAAGGTAAACAATGAACTTGCATTGAATGGATTGGAAATTTAGAAATAAGAATAGAAAGAAAAAAATGCATTGACTGAACAAGGAGTATCTGCAGGACGAGTGTCACATAAACTAATCTGTGTCTAACCTTTACCAAGTGGACTAAACAGGAGGATTAGTTAGGTTTTAGTTGTTCACAGCAAATAATTAAGGAAAATGAGCCAAAGAAAAAGTGTAGTGAGTGAGTCTAAAGCTCAGTAGAAGTTAGGTGATGCAGCAGGACAGTCATGGCCTCTGCCCCTTCCCTCTGTGTCTGAAATCACTCACTAATCACCATATACTCCACTATTTGATGAGTTCGCCCTTTTAGTAGCGCGGTCCGAATATTTAGTGACATTTTTTATACCCTATATAGTGCACCTATTGTGCACTGATGGTCATTAACTGCGCAATATATATGCAGTGGAGAGTGCAGCAGCAACAGCCAGACCTGTTGTACAAATGTAAATAAGAGCGGATCACCGCACGAAGTGAAACATCATCATTCAACATGTTTTGTTTTTTCACCTAAATGCATTAATACTAAGTGGACAATAAACATTTACAATTTACTGTGGGATTGACATCCCTGCATATGCACTTAAATAAACCTCAACCAGGCCTTTTTAAAAATGCCAGTTAGTAATGTTATTCCATTCGCTGAAGCACATTGTGATGAGGATGAGATCACATTGCAGTTAATGCATAAAACCAGGTTATTCCAAAGATGTTACACTGTGTACTGTTCCCAAAAGTCAAAAACTAACTTCAATGCTTTAAAGAAACTTGTTTATGTTCTGGAATAACCACTGTTCTGTCTTTATGAAAAACCTGGCTTTAGTTTAACCCCTACATTGTGATGGCATGGTGGTTAGCGTAGTTAAAGAAGTAGCTCTATTAACTCTATTAATGATACTGTGCAAAAACATCAATTTGCAATTTTAAGAAAAGTAAAAAGACCAACACGTTTCCTGCGGACCATCCTTCATCTTTGTACAATAACATGTCCGGTCTCACCTGTGATGCGCAGCACCTGCAGGCTGACAAGAGGTCGCAGGGATGCAGGGCCGATGGTATGAAGATTGTTTCTGCTCAGATCCAGCAGAGCCAGAGAAGTCAAGCCAGCAAGAGCCTGGTCTGCTAACATGTCTATACTGTTGTGCTGCAAATGGAGCTCCTGCAGACGCTGCAACAGGGACAGAATGCTACATGATCTTCAGAACTTCGTATACAGTATGCTGAGCAGGACACTGAGAATACATCTTGCATAGCTATGCATTGAGTTTGTCATTTCAATTCATGGAAGTGAAACACAACAGCCATTATAGACATCTGCTTAAATGTGTCCTACCTGTAATCCACGGAAGGTGTAGTCCAGTAGGCGTGTGATGTCATTTCCTGCCAGGTACAGAATGCGGAGATGCTCCAGTCCCTTAAACATGTCAGCCGTCACCAGGTGGATCCTGTTCCCATTCAGAGCTAGCTCCAACAACTGACCCTGGTTCCGGAAAGAGCCAGGCTCCACTGCTGAGATGGTGTTGTTCTGGAGCAGGAGGAACGATAGAGGGTGACCACACAAAAACCTTGGCTGCTGGTTATTACTCAGGAACTACTGCTGATGCTGCTTTTGTAAGCGTGTTACCTGCAGATACAAGTAGTGCAGGTGCCTTAACGGAAGCAGGTCCTGTCGACGGATCTGACCAATCACATTGTCCTGGAGGAAGATGGTCTGGATGAAGAAAAGATGAGATGAAGAGAGATGATGGGAGATTTCTGTTCAGCTGTAGTGAATGTAACAAAGAGCTACAACATATGATATGGATGTCACGATTCCAAATGCATGACTTCTGATTGGGTATGAAAATATCTCAAATGATTTAATACTAATGTCACTGAATGTCCTCTTTCAGTGCAGTGAACCCACCTGTGTGGATGGGGGGACGTGTTTGGGGATGTCTCTGAGGCCGGTGGAGCCACACTCCACCGTGAGGCTGTAGCAGCGACAGCTCACAGGGCAGGAAGGAGAGGCATTAATCGGAGTGTGGGTGGACAGGAGCAGTGTGGAGAGTAGAAGCATCAACATCACAGCCATCACACCGACAGACAGGACTAGAGATTTGGAGAGAACAGTCAACACAAGGGTCATGATCAATGCTCTGCATTAACAAATGAACAGATTGACCAAGTAGAAAAGGCATGTAAACAAGTTCTGGTGCAGCGCTAGGGGAATTGTTTGGATAAGCACTTGAAGATTCATTTAAGATCTCACATATTGAATTAGTCATGGTTGTATTAGGTTGGAACCCTCAGGCATGTGTTAACAAACAGGATATTCAGAATTACCCTCACCTGAGGGCAGCAGGTAGCTAATGTTTATAAGAAGAGAGATGCTGCTCCGTGTCTCAAAGGCTCACTAAGGCTCGGGGTATATGAAAAAGATGCTCCTTTATGTTTTGAGGTGATTAAGAATTTGACTTTATTCTACTTATACATTCAAACAATATTAGTTTTCAACAATTCTAGTTGTTAAATGTTGGTAAAAGTTGGTTACTACTGAATGAAGTGCTGTCCAGAGTTTAAATAAACTGTACTTTTACTTTTCTGTCGTGTCCCCAACCCAACTACAATTATTCATGTAAGCTTATGAAGATTTGACTAATACATGTAAAATAAGGATCTGCAGGATCTCAGGACAAAAACTGTACATGTGTGATTTTAGAATAAATGGGATAGAGCAACTGCACAGGAAATCCCAGAGCAGTACACTCATTGCTACATCCTGGGCATGTTCCCAACTCTTTTAGATATGCATCACAGTCTGTGAATCACTGTCACCGTCAGAAACATCCACTTCTTGAAGAACTGGAGCCATTTTCAGGCTTTTTCTGTCTTTCTTTAGGAGCTGGACGCTGGCAAAGCATCATTCACTGACGGCTACTGCTGCTGTTTGCCCAGAAAACCTTTCTCTGGGGATAGTTGTTTTGATTACTTGATCAAAGTACGTACTTAAACCAACAGCATCATTTAGGCATGCCAGTGAGGTTTTATTCATTTGGTAATTCAAAATTCCAAAACAACATGAAACTGGTTGAGTAGGATATGACATAAAGTCCCATCATAACTGCCAGCAGTAAAACATCCCTTATTCACAACAATGGCAGAGGAATGGTATCAAGTAAAAACATATATGAGTAAGAACAGTTAGAGGACGATGTAGTGTGTAATCCTCAAGAAAATACAATACAAGAATTACAATACAAAACTTGTCTTGCAGTGAATACACCTTCACTAATATAAACAGAATCCTCAGAATTTTGAAGGAATTTCATAACAAATGTATTAACTGATTTGTGATATGAGTAGTTTACAAGTTTTACATGTGCAAAGACATAGCAGGTGTCTGTCCTCCCAAGATGTACACACTATACCAGTAAGTAGACTGTTGTATGTATACTACTGACTCAAGTATTGAATTTGAGACACATGTTTCCTGGCAAGGTGATGGATTTAGTTAATTACACATACTGTCTCCTTTTCTTACACTGTTTATACAACACTATAATTACATTACAATCAATGCCTGCTATCTTGCACAAAGCTATTATTCCAGTTAAACCAAAGCCTGCAGATGCTTAATCTCTATCCTCTCAGTTTGTTTCAAAATGAATACAAGTTGTTTTCTAAGATACTTGATTCAAGCATAAGATGGTAAAAGTCCAGTGAGTATTTGGCAATACTTGGGACCTCTTCATGTAATGCTCATAACTGCTTTGGGCCATCTTTTAGGATATGAAGTGAATGGGACCGAGAGCAAAGTGATCCCTCTGAATAACATCACTTTTCCAGCTCATTTATCCGCAACTCCCACAGTGTGGAGACAACAGGTCATGTAGTACCCTGGGATTAATGTAATATCTCCTGTTGATAAGATATTTGACTGGAAATGACCCTGAACTGTTGAAAAAGATCAGAGATTATCCTAACAGAGGGAGAACACTGCCTTTATCTCTATAGTGAAGAACAGAAGTGTTCTTTACTATGCTGCGACCTATTCCACTGAGATTCCCTCTGTAAAGATTTGAGAAAATAAATAAACTGATGTTCTAAAGATAAAAACAAAACAGACTAAATTTTTATAACATAGAAACAGCAGGGCCATGGGAGTCCTGGATGTTATTACTTGCATGTTTCTCATATAATGTGACAAGAGCAATGTAAATGTATGGACTGGTTTTACCCTCATGTACTCACTGCATGTAAAATGTGGCAGCAATAAAGTGTTACCTTGTGCCAGACTGTAAATTAATGGGACCCGTTAATGTGTCAATGAGCAAAAACCAAATTTTAGTTGTGAAGATTCAAGCATTCTGTAAAACAGCAGAACACCGTACTGAAGAAATAAGTTGTAATGGATGTTGTATTTGGTTCCGAATATGACAGCGAAGGACACTGTCTCTGAATTTAAAAACCGTAAAAGCTCCTTGAAGAAAATATATCTCCTTCCAAAGCACAATGGGACTCCGTAATGCAACATTCATCGTATTCATCACATTGTGGCACTTTACTGATGAAGAGGTAGTTTAAAGCATATCCATCTCCACAGTTAAACAATTAAAGATCATAAGTCATGAAGTGTGTCCTGAGGCATTATGGTCTTATTGATGTGTCTATATTGAATGTAAAGATCCCATTATGTCCAGCTGTATGTCTGTTGGGGAGCAGGGGGTTTGAACATTTCATTGCTCTGGATTTCTTTCAAGTGAGCGTATTATACTAATGAACTAGGAGAGAGAAAATATGTTGTATGTTGTATGAAAGTCTATTTAGACCTGATGATGATGGAGGATGCAGCCTCAGCTTACATAGTGGAGTTAAAGGTAAATGTTGGTGCATGTCCTGTAGGTTCTATGAAATAAAAAAAATATATCAATGGTATAAACAATAGCTGAACATTACAAATGTATTACAGGTTCAATTTATTGTGCTGAATTAGAAAAGACAACATGTTTACCTTATGAAGTGGCCACCTCATATACCCATGTATATACCATAGTGTATGGTATGTTCTACCGTATATAATATAACATGTACTGAATGTTATTAATGCTGCAATCATCTGCTCTCTCTCTCTCTCCTCTCCCCCTCCATCTTATGAATTCCTCATCAATACATGTTACTGACTTGACTTCTTTCCTGGAGTCCTTGAGCTATATCTTTGCAGACCCAGGATAGAAACTGCAGTCACGCAGTGTCCAGGCTGATTGTGGATTATGATCACAACTACAATGATAGAAATACAACATGCCTACTCACATATACTACCATTGTTGGCAGTACATCTATCATTACAGTTGAAATGTCTGCTCCCTTTATCTCTTTTAGACCCTTTCTATTGTGTAAACATTGCAGCACCTCTCCATTAATGTTGTTAAAGGTTCAGTGTGTAAGATTTAGGTGAAAGGGATCTATTATCATAGTGATGTTTTCACTAGTGTGTTCCATCTAAATTGTATTACTTGTTATTTTTCCTTTATATTTAAATACTTTATATTTACATCAGAAGCGAGCCCTCTCTGTGGAGGCCGCCATGTTTTTTTTTACAGTAGCCCAAACTGGAGAATCACAGCTTTAAGTGTCAAGGCAAACAAAACTGTGGTGGTAAAAAAAAACCTCACTTTTATTCTAAAACATTTTCAAAATAATCAGTATAAAAATTCAACTCGAGCCTCATCAATAATGAATAATCAAGAAGCACGTTCCATCTTGAGTGACTGAAGTTTAGCATTAAAATGTGACTCCACCATCAGACGCTCACATCTGTGTGGGTGTCCCGGGTGTGCTGGGGCCCTTTACAGGCCAGATGCAGCCCCGCAGGTGTGACCACGATCCCTGCCATCCCTCCCACTGACCAATGTGACCATGCAGCACAATGAAGCCATGTGTCAGTAGGACCGCGGTGCGTGTGACGCTGAGGTGCTGCAGGGCTGAGGCCACAGCACGGTGAACCCAGGCTGCTCCCCGCACCGTGCGCGGAGCAGCCCGCAGAAAATGCATGGCGGAGCAGCAGCCTCCCTCCCACACGTACCTGTTCTGACCGATGAGGAGAAATGATCCCGACGACGTTTCCCTTGCGGCCTCACGGCTTCATGTCTGAGGTGTCTGCCCGGCACGATCGCAATTATTCCGCTCTACGTTCGGTGTCGGAGGAGAGAGCGGAGCAGCGGCTGATGGATGTTGGCACGGGGAGCGGAGCACCGCGGGCCCGTCGCATCCTCCCAAGACAACACGGGGCTGAAAACAGGAGGAGGAGCGGGCGTCGAGAGCGGCAGAGCACCGGGTCAAAGAGCCGCTGGTTTGGGACGATGGTCGGTTCAGCAGCACCGAGCGTGAAGCGGTGAGAGGCAGCCCCGGCGTCTTTGTTCCAGCTCCTACATCCAGCTGTTCCCTGACTCCTCTCATCCAGTCTGCCTGCGTCAAGTCACACCAAGTCACCCACAGCAACAAGACACACACTTCCGCTCCGGGTTATTCACAATAAACACATTAGCACAGAAAATAGATTCGGGGCTAAACTGGCTGCAGCTCACATCGCGTGAACACCCCCACACTGAATTAAACAGGATTTACATTGATGCTCGTCCCAATGTGTGGACACAATTGGAATTCATTTCGGTTTGTTTGCATGGCACATTATCTGAAGGCAGTAAAGACCATACAGAGGCCAGATACTTCCCACTGCACTGAGCATGCAGACAGACAACATAAACCCTGAACAGGAAGAGACATCCAGGAGCACATCTGTCTTGACCATGGTCTTGACAGGTTCGGGTGAGTGGAGAGAAATTTGGTCGAGAGGAGAGGTGGGTGGAAAAGAGGGGGGAGACAATCCTGGATTAAACCACAAATACCATTCAAGTTAACTCTGACAACGCCGAGCAATAATCCATTCAATTTGATTTTCTCTGGTCTTACTTTTTCATCTTTGATTTACTTGCCCAAATTCCCATTTGTCAACATTTGATTATAGCAGAACCAAAAATGTGACTGAATTTAAATGTTATCTGGATTTACAAAAAGAAACATAATTATGAAACATTTATTGGTTTATTTTTCTTACAAATGCACGTGTCATTATTCTGTTGCTTTGATGATTAAATATTATTGTAATTATTGTTATTTTGTTAATGAGGCATCTATCCGTCCCTCACAAGTCCTGTTAGGCAAATTGTAATTTGTGAATATAGGCTATATTAATTTGATTGATTGAAATATTGTTAAAATGTACTCATCTTCTTTTAAATGTTCAGAGCTGAGATTCTATTTTCATGTTATCAAAATCATTTTTGACATGATCTACACTGTAAACTAACAGTCAGCTGAAATTAAAGGTTGGGTTTTCTTTCAGTGTTTGTGCATTTTTAAAGAGATAGATTTGCCTGATAAAGGTCTAGTACAGAAACATCTCATAATAAATCTCTGATTCCAAAGTAGGCATAACAACAGTCAGTTTTGTTTATTATTTAATTTATTCCATCATCACATGAGGTCTGTAATAATATAAAATACTAAAAGTAATCTATGAAAGAATCTCCTACAGGCCTCAACAGTGAGAGCTGTGGGTGTAGAGGCTGCCTGGCAGCAGAGTCACCACCCTGTGATGTCAGCTCAGTGTTCATCGTCTCCACCATCACCAGCACTGTACTGTGTATGTCAGTCTTTGGCACAGTCATCTGCATAATTTCAGTTCAGTGATGTTGTCTTCTGTCACATGACATTCCTCCTACATCCAGGGATCCTGAGGTGACTTTAATGGAATCATATACGAAATCAACAAGCCAGCAGCTCCTCTGGATGAACAAACAGTGTATGCCAATCCTCCACAGCAGGACAAAATCCAAACTGCATATACAAAATTGTATTAAATGGATTTTCACTATTTACAGCCAGAATGACAATCAGTGTTGGTGTGGCGATAAACATGTACTGGTCTCTGCAGTGCCATGAAGAGACGTCCTGGTACATCTCTGCTTGGTTCCATCGCTGGGGTTGACAGTTGGTTATGAGGGGTTCTGTGGAAACACAATAGGGTAGATTTGGCTGTAGTGATCAACAAAGTGGACCTCCAGGCCATCGGTGATGTAGTCCGGCAGGTCAGAGAAGTCCTTCCTGTTCTCCGCTGGCAGGACGATGCAGGTCACACCAGCACGACGTGCCTGACAAAGACAAGAAGGTCCAGGTCAAATTTTGAAGAATGATATGCACATTCATTAGATATTTATCTGAGTTTGTTTGATTCTAAGAAGGATTATTGAAAAACCTGCTGGTCGGATCACCACATGACTTGGTGGAAGGATGTGGTATGGGTTGGGAAAGAACTTGGGGCAGTTCCAGAATTTATTATTTATTAGTGAATTTAAATGTGGGTTCTTAAGGGGACTGTTGGGCCTTGCTGGAGGTGTGTGACATTCTAGTTTCACAATGAGCTTGCCCGGACAGCATCAGGGTCATTTTGTCAGTTCATCCAACAGAGAAACAAAAACAACTACAGGCCACACTGTCAGTAAGTCTGCTGTAGACCTGTGTGGTCCTCAGAGAATGATGCTTAACCCTGTATCCTCAGCATCCAGCTGTGACAAAGGTCCACCAACACTCACACACAGTGTGTTCTGAGCAACACACTTATATCAAACAGAAAAAACTTCTGCTGCTACTACGGACTGTCACAACTCATTGTATATCACCATATTATATTACATCATAAAACTTTGCTGTTACCTCATACATTTGCACTAAGAACTGTCATTTTTATTTATTGTCTACTTTAGTGTTAGGATATGTCTGTCTTTATTTGTTGTGCCTGTGCACTTTACTCTTACTTTTGTTAGAAAATGTCTTGTCTTGTCTTGACTGTGGGATAGTTAGGAACGTAATTTCGATTCCTTTGTATGTCTGGTATATGTGAAGAAATTGACAATAAAGCTGACTTTGACTTATACGGACAGGTCAAAGAGCCAAAAATAAATAAATAAATAAATAAATAAAATAAAAAATCATTTCAGTCTTGTGTTTCCTTTCTGTCAATTTATGTTATGAACTAATTTAGTTCCAGAGGAAGCTTCATGAAGTCTGTCCTCAGGTGATGCCACTCAAGTCAGCATTGGTTGCGGCGGATTTGGAGAGAACTTGCATCCTCTCTGTTACACTTACACACCAGATCAAGGCTACATTGACAACTACCATAACATGAATCTTTAATTGGTGCATTGTGGGTAATGTAGGTGCCAGGTTTTTCAAAAGAACAGTACATAAATTAAAAAAGACCCTGACCCTCTGAATTCTTTATTTAAGTGCCATGCTACATCAGTGGAGCACTTATTAAAACACAGCATATATTGAGATTGAAACCAGGTATTTACATGAAATGTGATAGATGCAAAAACATGTTTTGGCTGTGTGTGTGTGTGTGTGTGTGTGTGTGTGTGTGTGTGTGTGTGT